TAATATTACACTAAAATAAAACAAATATAATATTACAAACTAGTATATTACATCAAAATCTTTACCCAAATAAATAACGAAACAATATTTTACAGATATTGTGTTTTCTTGTTGTATTTTACTCACCGCAGAATCTACATTTACGTAGAATTTAAAGAATATAAAAATTATGGGTTTTGAGTTCTTTTTAAGGTATATGTGTCATTGAAGCCTGGTTTGTTTTTCGATTTGCCCTTGTCCAGGGTTACCGATGAGGGCTGGAATTCCCCGAATCCGGTATAACTCAGTGAGAAGAGGTGAATCAAATGATAGGTTGGGCTTCATGTTTATTTTTATAAACATAATTTGTTGTAGTTACAATTTTGTTATAAAAAAAGTATATGTTATGCGTCTGCTATATGATTCTCCGAAGGGAACAAAGCGCGGATTTGTAATCTGATTTGTATGCAGCAGTGGAAATAATTATGGAAAGAGTGAATGAAATGGGTATAAAAATGTAAATGTTATGAGATGGCTCCCATTTTATTGTATAGAAACGAGCTTATGCTAGAGTGAAGTCACGTATTGATAATTCACACTATTATTGGACAGTCATCCAGACTATGCCACACCAGAATAATACCTATGAAAGTTATGACATTCATACTATTCTCAGCAGTAGTGTGGTGATGCACTCATGTGTCTCAGGGCAAAATTGGTACATGAAAAACTTGTAGAAGCAAATTTTGGGCTATTGAATGCTACTAAATGTGAAATATTGAGGCGAAATTTCAAGTTTTGGTAATAGCTAAATGGAAACTCTTCAAAAATGATGTCAAGTAACTGAACCAAAAGGCTCAAATTGGCATCAGATTGTAAAGAGTAGTATGAGCAAAGCTGGAATAGAGTTCTTTTTCTTTTCTTTTTTTTTGCAGGTGACCCCAAATTTCAACTGTGACAGAGAGGAGATTGTGTCACAGTCAACGTACAACATCTACAGTAAATCATACTGGAGGACCAAAACAATTGTGAGCTACATCTCAGTCAATGGTGTTGGAAATCTACTTAAAATTGATGGTACCCTGACTGCAGACAGGTACAATCAGATTTTTATCCGTCATGTTATTCCATCAACAAGACAATAATCCCAACTATACAGCAAATGTGATGAAACGACAAATGGCATTATAAAAGGTCACGATATACTCACAACAATGACATGGCTGCACTAGGTCTCGACATGAATATGATTAAGGTTGCATTGATTTATATGAAAACCGAGAAGACCAGCAGCAATCAACCATAAGGCTCCATAAAGCAAATGTTACGTCTCTGTTTAAAGTAATTACAAAACACGATTGTAGAACTTAGTAACTCTTCTTTTGGATTTCCTGTAGTACTGTATTGTAGTAATGATACATTACTCATTTAGTTGCAATAACTCTTTGTTTGTGGCTCCTGTATGTTTTGTAAATGCTTTTCCATGATTATTTTCAGTACTGTAATTTTTTTTTCTAGTATTGATTAGGTACAGAAAGTTTGAATAACGTTATATTACATACATACAACTAAATGTTTGTTTTCCAAATTAATTATGTTAATTCACCTCTTCATGCATTACTTTTCGGAATTTTATTCAATCTTATCCATTACTACGTTTTAAAAATTCTACTGTGTATCGTCACTGCTGTAACATTATATATATTTTTTACGCGAGATGTAATCTTATGCCAAATCTCGATTTTTCTTTTATGGAATGTTTCGTCCATCTACTCTCATTTCATCAGAATCAACAAAAAAAATTCAAGAAATTCGTGAAACTTAATTCGACAAAAACCTGTAGTAATTCAAGCACAGTTTGGAAACATGTCTGCCCAATAAGGTTAGTTCTGAAGGCGAACTTCTAATGATGGAGTAAACAGTTGAGTCACCAAAGAAAGTTCAACGAACGAACTGACCTCTCTTTTAAATCTTAACTTTTTTCTGTTTATGGTGCATTGTCAAGAGTTGAATAACAACACGTCGTCGGTTGGTAATTTCCAACAAGTAAAGAAAAGAACAAGAGACCACAAAAACAAAACACCATCTTGAGTGACTCAAACTGAAACTGAAACCTAGATATCCCTAGATAGAACCAAATACCCATAGATCCGCAATGAATTTCAGGTTAGTGTTCAGCTAGTTACATGTTGTTTCAGTTATGTCCCAAGTACTGTCAAACTTGTCTGTAACGGTTTAGTATACGAACTACATGCTATAAAATAGTGGATTTATAAGCCATACTTTCGTACTAATACTGTTGTTTATATAAGCCATACTTTCTTACTAATACTGTTGTTTATATAAGCCATACTTTCTTACTAATACTGTTGTTTATATAAGCCATACTTTCTTACTAATACTGTTGTTTATATAAGCCAAAGAAAAAGTAATGACCGATGCTCGATATTAGCAATTAGATTCTCGGTAGCTGATATACTTACCGTTAATATAGTGCTTTTGGATCAAATGCCTCAACTCTTGTGTTCCGTGTTTGATGTACAGTTTTATGGTTGCTGCCAGATGGATCAGAGATTATTTTTTAATTCACTATAAAATTATTTTATTTGGGCAATAGATGATTTTTAACTTATTATACATTGCGACATCTGGTAAACAAAAAGTTTACAATTTTTATTACATTGCTTTTGCTATATTTAGATTGTTTTTTTTTCTATTCCGAAACCCATTCATGAGTACAATCATTTAATTTCTAATGAGTTTTACAAGACAGGTTTTATATGACATTAGTTTTACTACTATCGCTTATCATGTTTCGCTAGCAAATATACATGTACTAACAACTGGTTTATTACACTAACCAAGTTCACACGTAAGCAGAGAAAAAGAAACTCGTGAAAATTACACTACAGAAAGTAGAAATCTTCACTCTTGTAGTGTACAATATTACACTACAGAAAGTAGAAATCTTCACTCTTGTAGTGTACAAAATTACACTACAGAAAGTAGAAATCTTCACTCTTGTAGTGTACAATATTACACTACAGAAAGTAGAAATCTTCACTCTTGTAGTGTACAATATTACACTACAGAAAGTAGAAATCTTCACTCTTGTAGTGTACAAAATTACACTACAGAAAGTAGAAATCTTCACCCTTGTAGTGTACAAAATTACACTACAGAAAGTAGAAATCTTCACTCTTGTAGTGTACAATATTAGGCTTATCGAAGCTTTTTTTTCATAGACCTAAATAATGTCGAATTTACACTGTCACTTTCTAATTAGATGAAATCAGTCATGAAATCAGAATCTGAAGTATGCAAAGTCATTCTCTTTTTTTTTTGTGTTGAAAAAATCTTTCAAACGCAACAGTGGTACCTGTTCTTCCCTATACAAACGTAACAGTGCTACCTGTTCTTCCCTATTCAAACGGAACAGTGGTACCTGTTCTTCCCTATTCAAACGTAACAGTGGTACCTTTACTTCCCTATACAAACGTAACCATGGTACCTGTATTTCCCTATTCAAACGTAACAGTGGTACCTGTACTTCCCTATTCAAGCGTAACAGTGGTACCTGTACTTCCCTATACAAACGTAACCATGGTACCTGTATTTCCCTATTCAAACGTAACAGTGGTACCTGTACTTCCCTATTCAAACGTAACAGTGGTACCTGTACTTCCCTATACAAACGTAACCATGGTACCTGTATTTCCCTATTCAAACGTAACAGTGGTATCTGTACTTCCCTATTCAAACGTAACAGTGGTACCTGTACTTCCCTATTCAAGCGTAACAGTGGTACCTGTACTTCCCTATTCAAACGTAACAGTGGTACCTGTACTTCCTTATTCAAACGTAACAGTGGTACCTGTACTTCCCTGTACAAACGTAACAGTGGTACCTGTACTTCCCTATTCAAACGTAACAGTGGTACCTGTACTTCCCTATTCAAGCGTAACAGTGGTACCTGTACTTCCCTATTCAAACGTAACAGTGGTACCTGTACTTCCTTATTCCAACGTAACAGTGGTACCTTTACTTCCTTGTACAAACGTAACAGTAGTACCTGTACTTCCCTATTCAAACGTAACAGTGGTACCTGTACTTCTCTTCCACTTCTTTCTATCTATTTAGCAGTTATTTTTCGTTGGTTGTGATTTAGTTTTGTTTGTTTGTTATGTATTTCGCGCAAAACTACACGAGCCGTTTGTGATTTAGCAGTGTAAGACTAGAGGGAAGGCAGCAAGTTATCATCACCCACCGCCATCTCTTGGGATACTCTTGTACCAAAGAATAATGAGTTTGACCGTCACATTATAACGCCCTCACGGCTGAAAGGGCAAGCATGTTTGGTGGGACGGGAATTCGAACCTGCAATCTACAGGATATGGTTTAGAATTTTCTCGAACAATTCATAATTCAAACAGACCTTCCTTCTCACCCACATTAATAAAGTCAACCAAATACAAAACTGTGTGTTTTTAAATTTTTTATTAAGATGTAGAGGATGAAGATGATGCTTCCAAGGAAACTAGATTAACTTTACCATAGAATGAAAATTTCCTTCCAAATTAAATTCATCTATATCTCAAACTTCGGCCAAGGAGGAACTAATCTTTCATTACGATATGTGTAGTAACTACCTATTTTGCCGCTAGGCGCGAAGATAACAGCCAATTATACATAAACAAGAGCCTTGTCAGCTACTTGAACACAGCAGTACCTTGAAGTCTTACGAATACTATACCTGACGCTACTTGAACACAACAGTACCTTGAAGGCTTACCAACACTATACCTGACGCTACTTGAACACAACAGTACCTTGAAGGCTTACCAATACTATACCTGACGCTATTTGAACACAACAGTACCTAGAAATCTTACCAACACTATACCTGACGCTACTTGAACACAACAGTACCTTGAAGTCTTACCAACACTATACCTGACGCTACTTGAACACAACAGTACCTTGAAGTCTTACCAACACTATACCTGACGCTACTTGAACACAACAATACCTTGAAGACTTACCAACAATAT